CGGTGACACCCAGCTCAGTGACACCCAGCTCGGTGACAGCTCAGTGACACCCAGCTCAGTGACAGCCAGCTCAGTGTCACCCAGCTCAGTGACACCCAGCTCGGTGGCACCCAGCTCAGTGACACCCAGCTCGGTGACAGCCAGCTTGGTGACACCCAGCTCAGTGACACCCAGCTCAGTGACACCCAGCTCAGTGACAGCTCGGTGACACCCGGCTCGGTGACACCCAGCTCAGTGACAGCCAGCTCAGTGACAGCTCGGTGACACCCAGCTCGGCGTCACCCCGCCCAGTGTCACTCCGCCCAGTGTCACCACGTCACCCCGCAGCTGCCACCGCCCACGGCCGCCCTTTGTCCTGTCCCCAGCCTGTCCCCAGGAGCTCCATGGCGGTGGTGGCCGCTCTGGGTCCCTTGGGCGTGGTGGCCCTGGGCACCCTGGTGCTGGCCCTGCTGCTGCGGTGGCTCTGGGATGGGCTGGTGGCTGTCACCCGGCTCCGGGCCACTTGTCACCAGCTGAACAAGTTCCCGGTCCCCCCCTGGCGCAATTGGTTGTTGGGACACACTGGCATGGTGAGGGGACAGCGGGGACAGGGTGGTGGCAGCGGCAAAGGGACAGTGGGGACAGGGAGGTGGCACCTGTGAGAGTTTGGACAAGGTGGTGGCACCTGTGAGGGTGGGGACAAGGTGGTGGCACCTGCGAGGGTGGGGACAGGGTGGTGGTAGTGGCAAAGGGACAGTGGGGACAGGGTGGTGGCACCTGTGAGAGTTTGGACAAGGTGGTGGCACCTGTGAGGGTGGGGACAGGGTGGTGGCACCTTTGAGGGGACATTAGGGACAGGGTGGTGGCACTTGGGGGAACAGTGGGGACAGTGTGGTGGCACCTGTGAGGGTGTGAACAAGGTGGTGGCACCTGTGAGAGGACAGTGGGGACAGGGTGGTGGCACCTGTGAAGGTGAGGACAAGGTGGTGGCACCTGTGAGGGTGGGGACAAGGTGGTGGCACCTGCGAGGGTGGGGACAGACACACGTGTCCCTGAGGCCAGCAGTGTCCTGAAGGCTCCCTGTGCCCGGTGACACAGCTGTCCCCTGCTGTCCCCTGCTGTCCCCAGGGCCAGAGCACGGAGCAGGGCCTGCAGCAGGTGGACGCCTTGGTGGCCCGGTACCGTCACGGCTGCCTGTGGTGGGGACTGCCCTGGCTGCCCGTCCTGCGCCTCTTCCACCCCAGCACCCTCCGCCCGCTCCTCAGCGCCTCAGGTGGGACACCACACGTGTCCCCAGGGCCACCCATGGCTGTCACCAAATGCCACCCCCCGTGGCCAGGCCAAGTGCCGGCCCGCGGTGGCCACCGAGCTGTCCTCGCGGTTCCCAAAGGTGTCACCGTGGCCAGCCTCTGGTTGTCCCCCAGCCCCGGTCCTTTGGTGGCCGTGGGTGCTGGAGAGGGTCCCCAGCCGGCCGTGGATGGGTGCGGGGTCCCCACCCAGGGGACCCGATGCCACCCCGGTGAGTCCCCGCCCTCCTGTCATTGTCCCCTGCAGCTTTCGTGGCCCCCAAGGACAAAACTTTCTACGGCTTCCTCAAGCCCTGGCTTGGTGAGTGGAGAGGGTGACAGTGGGGACAGCACCCCTGGGTGGCCCCAGGTGGGTCTGGGTGTGTCACAGGGGTGGGGACAGCACCCCTGGGTGTCCCCAGGTGGGTCCGGGTGTGTCACAGGGGTGGGGACAGCACCCCTGGGTGTCCCCAGGTGGATCTGGAGATGTCACAGGGGAGGGGACAGCACCCCTGGGTGCCCCCAGGTGGATCTGGAGATGTCACAGGGGTGGGGACAGCACCTCTGGGTGTCCCCAGGTGGATCCGGGTGTGTCACAGGGGTGGGGACAGCACCTCTGGGTGTCCCCAGGTGGATCCGGGTGTGTCATAGGGTTGGGGACAGCACCCCTGGGTGTCCCCGGGTGGATCTGGGTGTGTCACAGGGGTGGGGACAGCACCCCTGGGTGGCCCCAGGTGGATCTGGGTGTGTCACAGGGGAGGGGACAGCACCCCTGGGTGTCCCCAGGTGGGTCTGGGTGTGTCACAGGGGTGGGGACAGCACCCCTGGGTGTCCCCAGGTGGATCTGGGTGTGTCACAGGGGTGGGGACAGCACCACTGGGTGGCCCCAGGTGGGTCTGGGTGTGTCACAGGGGTTGGGGACAGCACCCCTGGGTGGCCCCAGGTGGGTCCGGGTGTGTCACAGGGGAGGGGACAGCACCCGTGGGTGTCCCCAGGTGGATAAGGGTGTGTCACAGGGGTGGGGACAGCACCCCTGGGTGGCCCCAGGTGGATCTGGGTGTGTCACAGGGGTGGGGACAGCACCCCTGGGTGTCCCCAGGTGGGTCTGGGTGTGTCACAGGGGAGGGGACAGCACCCCTGGGTGGCCCCAGGTGGATCCGGGTGTGTCACAGGGTTGGGGACAGCACCCCTGGGTGGCCCTAGGTGGATCCGGGTGTGTCACAGGGTTGGGGACAGCACCCCTGGGTGGCCCCAGGTGGATCTGGGTGTGTCACAGGGGTGGGGACAGCACCCCTGGGTGTCCCCAGGTGGGTCTGGGTGTGTCACAGTGGTGGGGACAGCACCCCTGGGTGGCCCCAGGTGGATCTGGGTGTGTCACAGCGGACAGGG